AAAACACATACCCAATTATAAACAGTGAACTACTGTTATGTTCGCCTATAACAAAATTATGTAGCATCAATCCATGTATAATCTTCAATGTAGCTAAGCAGGAGAGAATTTAAAAGGTAAATAAGATAAATGGTATTGATTTATCATAAACTATAATCTGAGTGAGTAAATTTTGATATTTTCAAAATTTAAAGACAACAGTAACAATTCTTTTATTCATATATAGATATTTAATTTTTTAAAAAATATTAAATTCACTCAATTCATCTATTGAATATGTTAACATTTAATTAATAATACACTTTAAATATTTATCTTTATATTAAATATTTATCTTTATATTAAATATTTATCTTTATATTAAATATTTATACTAATTACATAATAATCACCGTTTTCCATCATCTTTATCTTTTTTTTATATTTATTAAGTAAAAAAGTTGTTATATTATAAAAATATTGTATTTACTTTTAATTTAATATTTTCTATATAAAACTATTGAATATTTTGTATAAGGTGACATTTACTTTTTTTTATTTTAAGTCGAGTTAGATCATTACCAAGGATGTAAATAAATTAAATAACTCTGTCTGCATTTATTAATTTACTTGTTAAACCAAATATTGAGTAGGTCAAGCCTATAAGTTTTGATAAATATTTAAAATAGCTTGATACTTCATTAATTGTTTTTTTTGCAGCATATTCGCCACATAAATTCAATTTAATACATTTAAAAATAATTTTTAAATAAAATAATTAAATACTACCTACAAGATTGCGTTACATACGTCAAATTTATCTAATTTAACGTACATTATGCTTAACTTAATATAAAATATTGAACAGACTAGTTTAATAATGTGTAATATAAATTTAAAGAGTTATCCAAAGATATGACTTGATTTCCCTCATTTTTATATATTAAAATATTTTGACTGAAATATAGTATATTTCAATATGTATCATACAAACATTAATTATTACTCTATTAAATTAAAACATTTGTTTTAATTTTAAATAGCTCTAAAATATTTAATAAGTTTTATTAAATATTATGTAGTATATACACGTATTACTTTTAGCAAGACTCTAAATGCAAAATACTTATTTTAATTTAATGTTTTTTCATTTAATAAATAAAAAGATAAATAGGAAAATATTGAACTATTATTCAATTAATATAAACGTTTGTTGTTAGAGACTAGGAGTAGAAAGATACATAACTAAACAAATAAACAACTTATTAAAGTGAAAAATGTTATCTAAGCAAACAATGAACTTTTTTAATATTAATTAATTAAAATTTCAAATGGCTTATTAATTATATAAGTTCTATCCTACTTGAGAAAGATTCTTTGTGGTTAAAATTAGGCCTAATTTTATATAAAAAAAAATCAATAATTTTATGTTGAAAATATTAATTAAAATAAATATATAATATTTTAAAAGTATAAGATTAATTAATATATCTTTTTCATAAATTAAAGATAAATGTAAGAATTTTGTACAATTATTCAATTAATGCTAATATTTTTGCGTAATGAGTTTTAACTGAAAAGACAAAAGAAATCGCAGTATGAACGTCAGCTAAATATTAAATATTAAATTATTGGATTAATTTAATTTAGTTATTCAATTGAATAACTTTATTATGAATTTTATGCTTTTGTAGTTCTTAAAATATACGTATATGAACATTATTATTGCTATATCGAAATTATGAATATTTATTCAAAGTTTCTAAACAATTAATATTTAATAAGGTGCATTAAAAATTTCCTAGTATAATTACTTTTAGTGAGACACTTACTGTAAGTACATATTATTATTTATTTCACTTAAATATGTGTTGTAGAGTGTATAATTGAAAATGGAAAAAAATAAATAAATAAATTATTGAAGTGATAACAGTGCACTCTTCATACGCACTGTACCTGATAAGGCACACAAATTCCTTTATGCTAATAACATATAAAATTCTACTTATTATATATCGTGACTTCTTTATTTTGACCCTATGTAATATATGATTAAAATATTATTATTATAATAATCTTTTTTAAAAAGATCTTATTAAGCACAATGATTAAGAAATTAATAACTTTAATGTTTTTCAAAACCACACTAGAGCTGCATTGAAAACCATGGGACTGTATTCAATAAAACAAAACTTCCCATTTCTTTATTTCTTAATAGTACTTAAGAGCTGCAGTTAGTATTTTCAATTATTAATTTATACAATTAATGCGAATGGAGAATTTGGCATATAAAAAAGACTGATTTGAGTGTCTAAAAATATTCATGTTATAGTTTCTGTTTGTCCATGAATTTCAACAAGATGAGCTTTGAGCCAGCTGGTTTGAACTATGGACATCGTCCTCACCAAAATGGCGTTGCATGCAAATTATGCAACCATGTTTCCCCAGACTTTCAAGCATTCATAGCCCACACAGAGTCTCATTTTTCTCAACAAAACTCTACTCTGAGAAGCCTGTATTCACCAAACCATGTCAACTCTCAAAGGGAAATCATTCCCAACCCTTTGCGACCCAATTTTCCTAGGCCAACCATGATGCAGGAAAAAAGAAACTTTAACAACACAGTTTTCCAGACATCACCGCTGCAACCTGTGTTCATGCCTAGACCGAGAACAAACTTATTTTCTCATGCTAGCCAACCCGTGATTGCTACTTCACAACCATTTCATGGTCCACCTTCAGCTATGTCATTTCACAGGAACAGTGTTAACAAAATGACATTGTTTCCTTCTCCGCTGATCCACCAAAGAGATATGAAGACTTCTTCAATTGATGGAACTAAGCCATAAATCAACTTGCTGGATAAACCCATAAATAACAATGGATTTTTCAAGTGTGATATAATTAGTGGTAATTCATTGGATCTTTCGTTGAGACTTTAGAGGTTTTAAGGATTCTTTTCTGTGCCATCTACCATGTTGGTGGAGATAAGAAATTTTTAGCTTAAAATAAGGTAGTTTTATTCAAGTTAATTAGTTCTGTCGTGTTGATTTTGTTTTAGCTTAAAGATGTTAAAGTTGTAGAGAATGAGGATTAGAAAATATCGTATTGAATAAAAATGTCAATTTGAGATTTTATTAAATGAAAGGAAAATATTTTTCTAATACCTTCACTTGGACCAGTTGATAATTCATTTCTAAAGGTATTATTTTCATTAAAAAAAATTAATTTTTGAATTTATAAAATAGAGAAAGATTAGAAGATAAAATAATAGATGTAAAGTATCTGTAAAAAATTGTTGGGATGTTAAAATAATAGTACCAAATTATCATGAAATATCGTGTTCGATATTTAGATAATAATCTAAACTTTCAATTTTACTCAAGGTTTAACGTAAATTAAAGTTACAATCACAGTTAATGGATGTGATTACGTGAGTATAAACAATCCGCGTACGGATTTTTTTTATTCTGACTTTTTACTATTATTTTTTTTTTCGTGAGATTTTTCTTTCCTCTCAATGAATCTTAATTTTCCCTATCTATATTTGATGTTTAAAATTGTAATTATAGTGACAACTGAAATGTGACGACACAAATATACGAGTTTAATTAGTTCTAAAGTTTGAAATTCGTGAAGAATAAAAATATCGACTAAGGTTTTTCATCATTGAACTTTTCATGTGAGATTTTGTCTTTTCTCTTAATCAATCTTACGTTTTTTCATTTTAAAATTTTAATTAAAATCATAGTGATTTAACCGCACAAACAATGCAAAAGTAAAATAAAAATACTGGTGTATTTGCGGCTCCACAATTTCCTATTTATCTTAAAATTAATGTTAGTCTCTTTAAAATAAATATGAATTATAAATAGTTAGATTGATTTTTATTTTTAACCTTTTCATGTGTAATTTACCTTTTATCTTAGCAAATAATTATGATTTCTTTTTCTAATGATGTAAATTATAAATCTTGTTTTGAGATCTTACACTATTTTCTTTGGTAGGTCTCTCCATACTGCACTAAAATCTCATCTAATTTTTTTTAATATTGAATCATTATTTAATATTTTAGGCAAAACTGTTGTACACCATACAATACTAAGGTGTGTTCACTTCCGTTGATGTACTGTTCATACAATACTAATTAGGTGTGTTCACTTTCATTGATGTACAGAAGAAGATGAAATTGTAAGAAATTGGGGGAAAAGTGATTTTTCACTTCAGCCAGTTGTGAAGAATTGGGAAAGATGATTTGAAAGAATGAATCTTCAAGAAAGAGAGAAGTTTTGGAGGTATCTACTGTGTTTATTAATTAACTTTACATAAATATCCTTTTACTTTATAAAAATCTGAATTAACTTTACATAAATATTTTTCTACTTTATGAAAATCTTAAGCCACAGTACAGTGTTATTGTTTCGATCAATATTTATAATATATATAATAAAAATAATGATATAATTAAATAATAATAATAAAATAATAATAATATAATTTTTTTTATGTTAAAAATTAATTTTCTATATTTGAAATGAACCATCACATGATAAACAATATAGATTGTTGTAAAAAAATTATTAAAAAATTATTAAAGAAACATTTTCCTAAGATAATATAAAGAAAAGAAAAAGAAAGATGAATTGAAGGCTACGTTACATAAAGTGAAGGGAAACCAATGATTTATATGAAAAATTAGTAAGAATACAAAAAGGGGTACTGATAATGAGGAGGAGAGTCATGAATGCAACGACAAAAGTGACACTCCTCACTGTATTGGTCTTTTGGAGCTGTGAAGTAGAATGCAACCATCCTCACCCACTTGACCCTCTAACCCCTTCGGAGCTCAACCGTATCCGAACCATAGTCCAGAAATCATACCCAACCTCAAAAACCACCAACTCACAGTCTCATCTTCAACTACGTGGGTTTGGACGAACCCAACAAGTCCCAAATCCTCTCATGGATATCCTCAAAAACCCCAAAATCAAACCATCTTCTCCACCACCTCGTCGAGCCTTCGTCGTAGTTCGGTTCCAAAAACACTCTCACCAGATCAAGTGGACTTGTCCACTCCTTCCATCGTCTCAAAGAACGTGTACGAGGAAACGGGTACCCTATGCAGACTTCGGCGAGCAAACCGTGGCGTCACAGCTTCCATTCAGCTACGAACCGTTTAAGGAGTCTTTGAGGAATAGGGGTCTGAACGCGTCTCAGGTTCTGTGTGCTTCATTCTCTATTGGATGGTTCGGAGAAGCCAAGAGCAAACGGAACGTGAAGGTTAAGTGTTACTACACGAATGGCACTGCAAATTTTTACGCGAGGCCTTTGGAAGGGGTGGCTGCAGTGGTTGACCTAGATGAGATGAAAATTGTAGGCTACGATGATAGATACGTGATTCCAGTGCCAAAAGCAGAGGGTACTGAGTACAGAGCTTCTAAGCTGAAACCACCCCCTGGTCCAAAGCTTAAGGGAATTGTTGCAGTCAACGCAACAAGTGACCTGGATTCACATTGAAGGCTCATTCCGTCAGGTACCATTTAATTTTTTGGATTTTTATTTTCCTCCTCTTCTTCTCACGCACTTCTTCTTCTTCGTGATTCATTTCAAATCAGTGCATTTTTTGAAAAAAAAAAAAACTTTTTGGTATTATCAAACAACTATTTTTTAACCACTAATTGGTACATTTAGTGACGTCATCCGCATTTTGAAAAACCGTGGGTATGGAGAAAATATGCGTTCTTTGTCGGGATCTGGTTGTGAATTCCATAATAAAGTAATACCAGCATGAAAAGCACCTAATATTTGAATAATGATACGATAACACTTTCACATTTATTTAATACAAAATATAACGATGAAATAATTATAAGAGAATAAATTTTATATTTTTCAAAGAAAAAAGAAAGTAAAAATAATAATAATAACTAATAATATATTAATAAATATCAAAAATTTATATGTAAAAGGATTTTATATATTAATAACTTTTTAGTATATTTCTTATCATTGTTTTTATTAATCTGTTTTTTAAAAAATATTTGAAACAAATCAATTAAAAATCACTCACTGCATGTTGTCAAAATATTATTAAAAAAATTGTTAAATAAACATTTTTATTTCTATATTATAATTTTTGGCATTATCAATACTATTTAACCAACAATATGCGTTTTGTCGGGATTGTGTGTCATTTAATGATAAACGAATACCAGCATGAAAAGAACAAAAGATAAAATATAATAAACATTTTACATTATTAATCTTTTATACAGGCACCTGTAGACATATTATTAGAATAATGGTGACAAGATTATTCTGATAGGTTCAAAAAGTTTTTAGAACTTAATTTTAACTTAAGAATTAAATTCGTGAAATTTTGTAATATAAGTTTCATTTTTTAATTTTAAAAATAAATTAATATAATTTTTTTTAACAATCAATTATTTAATATTTTGATAAATAATAGTATTTTCTATGTCAAAACTGTCCGATAAAGTTTTCTGGTAATGTTATGTCTTATTGAATCTGGTCAATGCTAAAAGTATATACAAAACTTTTCACCTACATGAACAACATAACAACATAGCTAACTTATTAGGAACTAAATAAATTAATATAGGAAAGTGTACCAAGGATATATCTCATATTGAGATATTGTAGTATAAAGAATATTAACGTATTAACATATAAATAAATCAAAGAACTTTTATCTCATATTTATATTTCATATATGAAATAAATAAATCTAACCAAAGTTATTTATTAATGATTTGAAAAAAATTGGAGACCTAATCCATTTTAAGTTGATAGGTTAAATAGATTAGTTTACTAATTCACTAAATTAATTATTTTTTTTAATTTTAGAAAAATAATAATTTTTTTGTAATTCAAATCTATATAAATTTTAATTCAAAATTACGTTAAACTCTAGAGTCAATTTAAAATCAAAAGAATACAATACATTTCAAAATCATTTTAATCTCTAAATATAATCTAAAAACAAACACAACAAACAAAATAAATAAATATCTAACATTGATAATTTTTATATCACTTATCCATCTATAAGAGTCTTGAACAGATAAATTCACACTATTGTTTCTCTTGAAACATCTTCTTTATATTTATTCACACTATAATAAAAAAAATGTTAACTAATAATATTGAAACACAGAGTAATAATTATGTGGGTTACTAAACAAACCTAACTTATCATAGATTCAACCTGCGTTTTTAGTAAATCGAACTTAAAATTAATCCATATCGAAATTTCAAAATCTCTTTTGTCTTGTGAAAAATAAATAAACCTAAATGAGTTAAAAAAACCTATATTATTATTTAAATTTAAAACTAAAATGTGGAGAAGGACGATTCCAGAAAACATACTTACCTAAATCTTTTTTCCACATCATTGGATGCAACCCTGTTGCGATCGTTAAGGACGGTGTCGTTTTCTTTGGCGTTTTCTTCAATATTGGCCATGGCTAAGTTAAGAACCAATTTAACGATAAGAGTAAAAACGCTTTTGATTCTTGAATTGCATGCAACAATTCGTATAAGAATATTTAAAAAAATAAATACAATGTCGCTAAGAAAAATATCTCTCTCAANNNNGATGTTTAAAATTGTAATTATAGTGACAACTGAAATGTGACGACACAAATATACGAGTTTAATTAGTTCTAAAGTTTGAAATTCGTGAAGAATAAAAATATCGACTAAGGTTTTTCATCATTGAACTTTTCATGTGAGATTTTGTCTTTTCTCTTAATCAATCTTACGTTTTTTCATTTTAAAATTTTAATTATAATCATAGTGATTTAACCGCACAAACAATACAAAAGTAAAATAAAAATACTGGTGTATTTGCGGCTCCACAATTTCCTATTTATCTTAAAATTAATGTTAGTCTCTTTAAAATAAATAATGAATTATAAATATGTTAGTTTGATTTTTATTTTTAACCTTTTCATGTGTAATTTACCTTTTAACTTAGCAAATTAATTATGATTTCTTTTTCTAATGATGTAAATTATAAATCTTGTTTTGAGATCTTACACTATTTTCTTTGGTAGGTCTCTCCATACTGCACTAAAATCTCACCTAATTTTTTTTTAATATTGAATCATTATTTAATATTTTAGGCAAAATTGTTGTACACCATACAATACTAAGGTGTGTTCACTTCCGTTGATGTACTGTTCATACAATACTAAGGTGTGTTCACTTTCATCATGTACCGTTGAAGAAGATGAAATTGTAAGAAATTAGGGGAAAAGTGATTTTTCACTTCAGCTAGTTGTGAAGAATCGGGAGAGATGATTTGAAAGAATGAATCTTCAAGAAAGAGAGAAGTTTTGCAGGTATCTGCTGTGTTTATTAATTAACTTTACATAAATATCCTTTTACTTTATGAAAATCTTAATTAACTTTACATAAATATTTTTCTACTTTATGAAAATCTTAAGCCACAGTATTGTTTCGATCAATATTTTATAATATATAATAAAAATAATGATATAATTAAATAATAATATTATTAATAATAACAATAATAATAATACAATTTTTTTTATGTTAAAAATTAATTTTTACTTTTTTATCTTCTTTATAATATTTTTTACAATTATATATAATATTAACAATTACAATTTTATATTATTTTTATTACTAAGGATATTTTGGTAATCTTTAATTTCTATTAATTAAACAATTTCTTTTATCTATCACATGTGTCAAATCCGACACAAATTTTTGTAAACTTTACTTCCAAATTCATTGTCATTCATCTCTAAGGCTTTGTTCTTTTGGGTAGATTTGGGGGAGATGATTTGAATGGATTTGAGGATAATTTTTTAGTTGTTTTTTTGAGTGGATTTGTGGGTAATTGAGAGTGGATTTAGAAGTAAAGTTTGTGAGAATTAGTGTAGGATTTGATTGATGTGATAGATTTTAAAAATTAGTTTAATTGGTAGAAATTAAAGATTACCAAAATGCTCCTAGTTATAAAAGTAATATAAAATGTTATTTATAAATGTTATACTTAATTGTAAAAATGTTTATAAAGAAAAAAAATTATGAATAATTTATAAAATTAATATTTAAAAATTATAAAAATTAAATAATCAACTTATTTTTAATAAATTAGAAAATATAATATACCTAATTTTATTAAGATGTAGATCTTTTTAAATTATAATATTAAAATAATTATACAAAAAACTGAAAAATATATAGCCTGTAACCGGTTACGCGTGTGCCAACCAAAACTTCATTCTTCGGTAACCGGTTACACTTTAGTGTAATCAGTTACGCCACCCTCGTCGTTGCTTAAATTGGAGGGCACATACGACTTTTCCGCGACAATCCACTCAAATCTCATCACAACCGCGGGTGACTGAACAGTGCAACCATCCCGCATTTCACCGCAAATTCGTTCGCGCATTTCACTTCAACCGAACGCATAACGAGCTTAATTTCTCGCTCGCAAAACTATGTGAACAATTAAATCGCTTCAAACGAACACAGCGTAAATCCACTCAAACAAACAACAACTAATTCATTCTCAAATCCATCCACTCACTCTCTTCAAATCAATCTTCTAAAGTGAACACAACCTGAGTGATCAATACAAATATTTTTATTTTACTTTAATATAAATAAAATGTACACATAAATGAAATATACTTTATGCAAGTTGTTGCAGTCAGATTAAGAGTTTATAAATGATATTATTAAGGTTGAGTTTTTATCCGCAAAGATCAAATCACTTAATTAGTTAAACATTAATTTTTAAATATTTACATTTAAATAAATATATATCGCAATTTCAATTCTTTGATAATCACAATCAATTAAATATGAATAAAATGTTTGCAGGCTCACGACATATCATAGCATTGAAAATAACAAATAGAATTCCGTTACTATTCAAGTAAGCCAACTAAAAAATATTATTGATTTTTGCATTATTCTTATATAGTATGTTACTGTATAATAATATTTATTTAACTTTAAAATTAAAAATAACAAGAAATAAAAACATTTTTATAAATGTAAAAATAAATATTATTATTATTATTACCCACTTTTACATTTCACATTGTTTGACTTTAATGGTTTAATGGTTTAAAATTAATATGAATTACTTTTATTTTATTATTTCACCATCAATTGTATTCGTCATGTTTTTGTTTTTGGGTAAGAATAATGTTTTTTTTTAAAAAGTACGACGAAAAGTTTGGAAAAGAAGACGAAATAGAAAGTTTAAAAAATAAAGTGGAGTAACTGGTTTTGTATAAAAATAGAAATCTAGTAGGTTCCACGTAGTTTCGAGATAATGAACATGATAACAATTTTTTTAACAACCTTTCACTGCTATATTACGTTTTATATTTAATTGATTCTATGTTTGAAATGAACCATCACATACTAAACAACATAGATTGTTGTAAAAAAATTGTTAAAAAATTATTAAAGAAACATTTTCCTAAGATAATATAAAGAAAAGAAAAAGAAAGATGAATTGAAGGCTACGTTACATAAAGTGCAGGGAAACCAATGATTTATATGAAAAATTAGTAAGAATACAAAAAGGGGTACTGATAATGAGGAGGAGAGTCATGAATGCAACGACAAAAGTGACACTCCTCACTGTATTGGTCTTTTGGAGCTGTGAAGTAGAATGCAACCATCCTCACCCACTTGACCCTCTAACCCCTTCGGAGCTCAACCGTATCCGAACCATAGTCCAGAAATCATACCCAACCTCAAAAACCACCAACCACAGTCTCATCTTCAACTACGTGGGTTTGGACGAACCCAACAAGTCCCAAATCCTCTCATGGATATCCTCAAACCCCAAAATCAAACCATCTTCTCCACCACCTCGTCGAGCCTTCGTCGTAGTTCGGTTCCAAAAACACTCTCACCAGATCACAGTGGACTTGTCCACTCCTTCCATCGTCTCAAAGAACGTGTACGAAGGAAACGGGTACCCTATGCAGACCTTCGGCGAGCAAACCGTGGCGTCACAGCTTCCATTCAGCTACGAACCGTTTAAGGAGTCTTTGAGGAATAGGGGTCTGAACGCGTCTCAGGTTCTGTGTGCTTCATTCTCTATTGGATGGTTCGGAGAAGCCAAGAGCAAACGGAACGTGAAGGTTAAGTGTTACTACACGAATGGCACTGCAAATTTTTACGCGAGGCCTTTGGAAGGGGTGGCTGCAGTGGTTGACCTAGATGAGATGAAAATTGTAGGCTACGATGATAGATACGTGATTCCAGTGCCAAAAGCAGAGGGTACTGAGTACAGAGCTTCTAAGCTGAAACCACCCCCTGGTCCAAAGCTTAAGGGAATTGTTGCAGTCACGCAACACAGTGAACCTGGATTCACCATTGAAGGCCATTCCGTCAGGTACCATTAATTTTTTGGATTTTATTTTCCTCCTTTCTTCACGCACTTCTTCCTTCTTCGTGATTCATTTCAATCAAGTGCATTTTTGAAAAAAAAAAAAACTTTTTTGGTATTATCAAACAACTATTTTTTAACCAATAATTGGTACATTTAGTGACGTCATCCGCATTTTGAAACCGTGGGTATGGAGAAAATATGCGTTCTTTGTCGGGATCTGGTTTGATTCAATAATAAACTAATACCAGCATGAAAAGCACCTAATATTTGAATAATGATACGATAACACTTTCACATTTATTTAATACAAAATATAACGATGAAATAATTATAAAAGAATAAATTTTATATTTTTCAAAGAAAAAAAGAAAGTAAAAAATAAATAATAATAATAATAATATATAATAAATATAAAAAATTATATATGTAAAAGGATTTTAATATATTAATAACTTTTTTAGTATATTTCTTATCATTGTTTTATTAATCTGTTTTTAAAAAAATATTTGAAACAAATCAATTAAAAATCACTACATGCATGTTGTCAAAATATTATTAAAAAAATTGTTAAATAAACATTTTTATTTCTATATTATAATTTTTGGCATTATCAATGAACTATATTTTAACCAACAATATGCGTTTTGTCGGGATTGTGTGTCATTTAATGATAAACGAATACCAGCATGAAAAGAACAAAAGATAATATAATAACATTTTACATTATTAATCTTTTATACAGGCAACTGTAGACATATTATTAGAATAATGGTGACAAGATTATTTCTGATAGGTTAAAAAAGTTTTTAGAACTTAAATTTTAACTTAAGAATTAAATTCGTGAAATTTTAATATAATTTCATTTTTTAATTTTAAACATAAATTAATATAATTTTTTTAACTCAATTATATTAAATATTTTTGATAAATTAATAGTATTTTCTATGTCAAAACATGTCACATATAAAGTTTTCTGGTAATGTTATGTCTTATTGAATCTGGTCAATGCTAAAAGTATATACAAAACTTTTCACCTACATGAACAACATAACAACATAGCTAACTTATTAGGAACTAAATAAATTAATATAGGAAAGTGTACCAAGGATATATCTCACATTGAGATATTGTAGTATAAAGAATATTAACATATTAACATATAAATAAATCAAAGAACTTTTATCTCATATTTATATTTCATATGAAATAAATAAATCTAACCCAATTTATTTATTAATATTTGAAAAAAGTTGGAGAACTAATCCATCTTAAGTTGATAGGTTAAATAGATTAGTTTACTAATTCACTAAATTAATTATTTTTTTTTTAATTTTAGAAAAAATAATAAATTTTTTGTAATTCAAAATTATGTTAAACTCTAGAATCAATTTAAAATCAAAAGAATACAATACAATCCAAAATCATTTTAAACTCTAAATATAATCTAAAAACAAACACAACAAACAAAATAAATAAATAGCTAACATTGATAATTTTTATATCACTTATCAATCTATAAGAGTCTTGAACAGATAAATTCACACTATTTTTTCTCTTGAAACATCTTCTTTATATTCACAATATAATAAAAAAAATGTTAACTAATAATATTGAAACACAAAGTAATAATTGTGTGGGTTAGTAAACCAACCTAACTTATCATATATTCAACCTGATGAAGTGCGTTTTTAGTAAATCGAACTTAAAATTATTCCATATCGAAATTTCAAAATCTCTTTTGACTTGTAAAAAATAAATAAACCTAATTGAGTTAAAAACCTATATTATTATTATTTAAATTTAAAAACTAAAATGTGGAGAAGGACGATTCAGAAAACATACTTACATGAAATCTTTTTTCACATCAATTGGATGCAACCTGTGCGATACGTTAGCAACGGTGTCGTTTTCTTTCCGTTTTCTTTCAAGTATTGGCCATTGGCTAAGGTAAGAACCAATTTAACGGATAATATGTAAAACGCATTTGATTCTTGATATTGATGCAACAATTCGTATAAGAATATTTTGAAAAAAATAAATACAATGTCGAAGAAAAATTCATGTAAAAGGCCACCGTGATTTTCTAATATTCTGCGTTTGAAGCGGAAATGTATGTTATTTATTTATATGGTTACCAGGAAGAAGTTGAAGAAACATGAACGATGACATTAACCATTTTGTGCAATCAGTTGGGGCAATTGGGATTTTCACGTAGGATTTGACATTAAGGCTGGTCCAATCATTTCTCTAGCTTCAATTTATGATGTTGAAAAGCAGAAACGCCGTCGGGTACTATACAGAGGATTCATATCAGAGTTGTTTGTGCCATACCAAGACCCAACTGAGGAATGGTATTACACGACATACTTTGACTGTGGTGAATATGGGTTTGGACAGTCAATGTCTTCACTACAACCTTTCACCGATTGCCCTCCCAATGCTGCATTCATAGATGCATACTATGCTGCTTCAGATGGTTCTCCTGTAAAGATAACTAATGCCTTCTGCATATTTGAAAAGTATGCCGGTGATATCATGTGGCGTCACACTGAAATTGCAATCCCAAATGAAGTGGTACATTTTCTTTATTTTTTCGCTACCTTCGTTTTCTTTTTCAGTTCATAAATATTCTGTTCTTTTTGGTAGATAACTGAGGTCAGATCAGATGTTAGCCTAGTGGTCAGAATAGTTTCAACTGTCGGCAACTACGACTATGTTATAGATTGGGAATTTAAGCCAAGTGGAAGCATCAAAATTGGGGTATGATTCAATGCACTCTCATTTTAAATGTTTTATACGCCGCCTTGTCTGAAATTTGAAGNGGAAACCAATGATTTATATGAAAAATTAGTAAGAATACAAAAAGGGGTACTGATAATGAGGAGGAGAGTCATGAATGCAACGACAAAAGTGACACTCCTCACTGTATTGGTCTTTTGGAGCTGTGAAGTAGAATGCAACCATCCTCACCCACTTGACCCTCTAACCCCTTCGGAGCTCAACCGTATCCGAACCATAGTCCAGAAATCATACCCAACCTCAAAAACCACCAACCACAGTCTCATCTTCAACTACGTGGGTTTGGACGAACCCAACAAGTCCCAAATCCTCTCATGGATATCCTCAAACCCCAAAATCAAACCATCTTCTCCACCACCTCGTCGAGCCTTCGTCGTAGTTCGGTTCCAAAAACACTCTCACCAGATCACAGTGGACTTGTCCACTCCTTCCATCGTCTCAAAGAACGTGTACGAAGGAAACGGGTACCCTATGCAGACCTTCGGCGAGCAAACCGTGGCGTCACAGCTTCCATTCAGCTACGAACCGTTTAAGGAGTCTTTGAGGAATAGGGGTCTGAACGCGTCTCAGGTTCTGTGTGCTTCATTCTCTATTGGATGGTTCGGAGAAGCCAAGAGCAAACGGAACGTGAAGGTTAAGTGTTACTACACGAATGGCACTGCAAATTTTTACGCGAGGCCTTTGGAAGGGGTGGCTGCAGTGGTTGACCTAGATGAGATGAAAATTGTAGGCTACGATGATAGATACGTGATTCCAGTGCCAAAAGCAGAGGGTACTGAGTACAGAGCTTCTAAGCTGAAACCACCCCCTGGTCCAAAGCTTAAGGGAATTGTTGCAGTCACGCAACACAGTGAACCTGGATTCACCATTGAAGGCCATTCCGTCAGGTACCATTAATTTTTTGGATTTTATTTTCCTCCTTTCTTCACGCACTTCTTCCTTCTTCGTGATTCATTTCAATCAAGTGCATTTTTGAAAAAAAAAAAAACTTTTTTGGTATTATCAAACAACTATTTTTTAACCAATAATTGGTACATTTAGTGACGTCATCCGCATTTTGAAACCGTGGGTATGGAGAAAATATGCGTTCTTTGTCGGGATCTGGTTTGATTCAATAATAAACTAATACCAGCATGAAAAGCACCTAATATTTGAATAATGATACGATAACACTTTCACATTTATTTAATACAAAATATAACGATGAAATAATTATAAAAGAATAAATTTTATATTTTTCAAAGAAAAAAAGAAAGTAAAAAATAAATAATAATAATAATAATATATAATAAATATAAAAAATTATATATGTAAAAGGATTTTAATATATTAATAACTTTTTTAGTATATTTCTTATCATTGTTTTATTAATCTGTTTTTAAAAAAATATTTGAAACAAATCAATTAAAAATCACTACATGCATGTTGTCAAAATATTATTAAAAAAATTGTTAAATAAACATTTTTATTTCTATATTATAATTTTTGGCATTATCAATGAACTATATTTTAACCAACAATATGCGTTTTGTCGGGATTGTGTGTCATTTAATGATAAACGAATACCAGCATGAAAAGAACAAAAGATAATATAATAACATTTTACATTATTAATCTTTTATACAGGCAACTGTAGACATATTATTAGAATAATGGTGACAAGATTATTTCTGATAGGTTCAAAAAGTTTTTAGAACTTAAATTTTAACTTAAGAATTAAATTCGTGAAATTTTAATATAATTTCATTTTTTAATTTTAAAAATAAATTAATATAATTTTTTTAACTCAATTATATTAAATATTTTTGATAAATTAATAGTATTTTCTATGTCAAAACATGTCACATATAAAGTTTTCTGGTAATGTTATGTCTTATTGAATCTGGTCAATGCTAAAAGTATATACAAAACTTTTCACCTACATGAACAACATAACAACATAGCTAACTTATTAGGAACTAAATAAATTAATATAGGAAAGTGTACCAAGGATATATCTCATATTGAGATATTGTAGTATAAAGAATATTAACGTATTAACATATAAATAAATCAAAGAACTTTTATCTCATATTTATATTTCATATATGAAATAAATAAATCTAACCAAAGTTATTTATTAATGATTTGAAAAAAATTGGAGACCTAATCCATTTTAAGTTGATAGGTTAAATAGATTAGTTTACTAATTCACTAAATTAATTATTTTTTTTAATTTTAGAAAAATAATAATTTTTTTGTAATTCAAATCTATATAAATTTTAATTCAAAATTACGTTAAACTCTAGAGTCAATTTAAAATCAAAAGAATACAATACATTTCAAAATCATTTTAATCTCTAAATATAATCTAAAAACAAACACAACAAACAAAATAAATAAATATCTAACATTGATAATTTTTATATCACTTATCCATCTATAAGAGTCTTGAACAGATAAATTCACACTATTGTTTCTCTTGAAACATCTTCTTTATATTTATTCACACTATAATAAAAAAAATGTTAACTAATAATATTGAAACACAGAGTAATAATTATGTGGGTTACTAAACAAACCTAACTTATCATAGATTCAACCTGCGTTTTTAGTAAATCGAACTTAAAATTAATCCATATCGAAATTTCAAAATCTCTTTTGTCTTGTGAAAAATAAATAAACCTAAATGAGTTAAAAAAACCTATATTATTATTTAAATTTAAAAACTAAAATGTGGAGAAGGACGATTCAGAAAACATACTTACATGAAATCTTTTTTCACATCAATTGGATGCAACCCTGTGCGATACGTTAGCAACGGTGTCGTTTTCTTTCCGTTTTCTTTCAAGTATTGGCCATTGGCTAAGGTAAGAACCAATTTAACGGATAATATGTAAAACGCATTTGATTCTTGATATTGATGCAACAATTCGTATAAGAATATTTTGAAAAAAATAAATACAATGTCGAAGAAAAATTCATGTAAAAGGCCACCGTGATTTTCTAATATTCTGCGTTTGAAGCGGAAATGTATGTTATTTATTTATATGGTAACCAGGAAGAAGTTGAAGAAACATGAACGATGACATTAACCATTTTGTGCAATCAGTTGGGGCAATTGGGATTTTCACGTAGGATTTGACATTAAGGCTGGTCCAATCATTTCTCTAGCTTCAATTTATGATGTTGAAAAGCAGAAACGCCGTCGGGTACTATACAGAGGATTCATATCAGAGTTGTTTGTGCCATACCAAGACCCAACTGAGGAATGGTATTACACGACATACTTTGACTGTGGTGAATATGGGTTTGGACAGTCAATGTCTTCACTACAACCTTTCACCGATTGCCCTCCCAATGCTGCATTCATAGATGCATACTATGCTGCTTCAGATGGTTCTCCTGTAAAGATAACTAATGCCTTCTGCATATTTGAAAAGTATGCCGGTGATATCATGTGGCGTCACACTGAAATTGCAATCCCAAATGAAGTGGTACATTTTCTTTATTTTTTCGCTACCTTCATTTTCTTTTTCAGTTCATAAATATTCTGTTCTTTTTGGTAGATAACTGAGGTCAGATCAGATGTTAGCCTAGTGGTCAGAATAGTTTCAACTGTCGGCAACTACGACTATGTTATAGATTGGGAATTTAAGCCAAGTGGAAGCATCAAAATTGGGGTATGATTCAATGCACTCTCATTTTAAATGTTTTATACGCCGCCTTGTCTGAAATTTGAAGAATTCATTTCTTTTCGTAGGAGTCTCTTCAATTTTGTCGTCAATCAATGCGACATTTAGGCAGCAGCTATTTGTTAACCGTCGATTTAGGGAAAAAAATTGTCTTTTTATTTAAAAAAGATATCAATGCATACTTTTTTTAAAAAATAAATAAAAAAATTATTTGAGCGAAAATTAATATGAACCTTAATGTCCTTTAAATAGAAAAGTGAAACAAATTACAGAGTTGTTTCTTATCAGCAGTTTAAAATAGAGTAACCGATAGACAAATATTGAAATCATGATTTATATTTTACATTAAACTTGTGATTACCCACTGTTTTGAGCAAACTATATGTTATATTTTAAAAATAGGTTGGACTTACAGGGATACTAGGGATTAAGGCAGGGACTTACACCCACACAGATGAAATAAAAGAGGACATATACGGCACACTGCTAGCAGATAATAGCATCGGTATCTAACATGATCACTTCTTCACCTATTATCTTGACCTTGACATCGACGGGGAAGTCAACTCCTTTGTGAAGTCTACGTTAGAGACAGTGAAAGTGAAAGATGAAAACACACCAAGGAAGAGTCGTTGGACAGTTGTGAGTGAAACGGCAAAAACAGAAGCTGATGCGAGAATCAACCTCGGTTTAAAGGCATCAGAGCTACTAGTGGTGAATCCTAATAGAAGGACAAAACAAGGAAATAAAATTGGGTACCGTTTGCTTCCAGGTCCTGTGGCGCACCCACTTTTGCTTCAGGATGATTATCCTCAAATTAGAGGTGGCTTCACCAATTACGATGTATGGGTCACACCATACAACAAATCTGAGAAATGGGCAGCAGGGTCATATGTGGATCGTAGCAGAGGTGATGATACTATTGGTGTTTGGAGTTCCAGGTGTGTTAAGTTGCTTACCACGCTTCAATTTCTTCCGAAAAAATTAGGTTTTTTTGAATGAAAATGACACATATTTGACGTTGTGAATTGAACGAGCAGGGACAGGGAGATTGAGAAGAAGGATATAGTGTTATGGTACGTGATGGGATTTCATCATGTTCCTTGCCAAGAAGATTTTCCAGTTATGCCGACATTGAGTGGAGGGTTTGAACTAAAGCCAACGAATTTCTTCGAGAGCAACCCAGTCCTTAAAACAAGATCACCCAAAGCCTCTGCAATGGCCTAACTGCACTTCTCAACACTGAGTGGTACCCATTTCATTCCACTCGACCAAATTTTAAACATTCCTGTACCCACTTAAGACTTTATCATGGTTTGTTCTTTATCA